TCGATATATCGATGAATGAAATATCGATGTAAACTTTTTTATAGGTATCAAAATATCGAAATATCGATATATCGATATAATTTTATATATAATATTTATAGGTCATATGATTTAATAACAAGTAAATATTTTAATATATAATTATGTGTACATTTAATATTATAAATTTTACAACTTGTAAGGTAAAACATTTAGAAAATTAGAAATTCAGTGCCAATACTTATCATCTAATGATTGTAAAAACACTAGTTTTGACAATCTTGAGCCTAATATTCTATTTCTACTTTTAGTCATAATGTTACCGGTCTTACTAAACAATCTTTCTGATGGTACTGATGTGGCTGATATAAAAAGATATTGTCTAGCTAGTTGATATAGATTTGGAAAAGCTCCTTTGATATTTTCCCATTCAATAATCGGATCTTCTTTGAGTCCAATAACCGATTTATCAAAATAAGAATGTATCTCATCTCTCGCATGAGATCCGGACTTCGTTTTATTTTTTTGTTTTTTCTCAAGACTCCTGTGTAGGCTCCAAAGATTAATGCAATTATTACTATTAGTAGAATCAACATTATCTTCTACTTCATTTTCCCAGATCTCATCGTTGTTTGCAAATGGGTTTTGTGCCTCGATCAAATTTACTAGTGTATTTAATATTTTTGATTTGGATTGTGGTTCTATAAAATATATATCTTTAAACCTTGGATCAAGTATAGTGGAAATAGATAATATTGGGTTATATTCCAACTTCCCACACCGGTATGCAAACTCTTCCAAAAGTTTAATTTGTAAATTATTTGCAATATTAAAAACTGGTTTCTGGTTTTTAATTAAATTTTGAGTGCACACTATAACAGGGATGATCTTACTTGACATGACATACTTTTAAGTTGATAGCTCCTTTGTTAGTTTCTCAATTATCCCAAGTAGCAAACAGATTTCTTTTAAAGACTGAAGATCTCGTGCCGACAACATTTCCGGAACTTCATTACCCGTTCGAGAAAGTAAAATATTTGAAATAATAGTTGACATTGAAATAAATCGTTCTACCATGTAAAATGAGCTGTTCCAGCGCGTTTGTACGTCAAGTATTAATTT